GCCGGCGGCGCCGGGGGGGAGGGGGCGCCGCCGAGCCCCGCGGGCCAGGGTCCCTCGCCTCGCTCCGGGCGCGGCTGGGAGCGCGCGCGCGCACCCCGCCCCAGGTCGGCCTCGCGCCCCCGGCAGCCGCCGGGCATCCCGCTTGCAGCCGGGCGCCCCTTCCCCCCGGCAGCGCGCTCCAGGTGGCGGGTGGGGGCCCGGGATGCAGATGTGAGACTCGGCGCCTCTCTCCCTCTTTCCCGTCTCCCTCGCTCCCTCTGTCTCCCTTCCTCTCGCCCGGCTCCCTTTCTCCTCTCTTCCTCTCTCCCTCTCCACCCCCCCTCCCCCCGGCTCACCTACACCCACCCACCTCTCTACTGCCATTGACCCCGAGTGCACCCACGCCCCGTGTGTTCTTATTCACACCCACATGTGGGCTAGCACCTGAGGATGTAAGCAGTTAGAATTCGGGCGGTGTGTGGGCTTTGCTTTTTCATGTTTTAAGGAAATAATGAAAGGGTGTGCCAAGCTCACGCGGCTGCACACTATTGCCCAGTGTTTTGCCAGCATCTCCATCCTTGGCATCAAGTGTCACCAGCTCCCCCCAGTGAGGGGGAAAGGCTTTCAGGTAACTCCCCACTTCTTGGAAACTTTCTCCCTCACCCCCATCCCCATATTAACAAGTTATTATGTTTTGGCATTGCTCAGCAGTTAAGGTTATGATGGAGTGTGGAGGGTTGGTCTTGCTGGAGTGTGGCAGCCTCCAGCTTCATCTCTGTCTTGTCTCTATGGCTTTCTCTGTCTCTTTTGGGTGTAGTCTTTCCTTTTTCTCTCCCAGTTTCCCAAGCCTCCCTGTTTACGATCTTCCTTTCAATTTCTTCCTCCTGAATACCTGTCGCTGTTAGTCCTGTTACTTCCTGGGGTATACTTTAAGTGATTCTCTGAGGACCCCAGCCTGGTGTGTGTGGGGGGAGCGGTTGTCTCCATGTCTCTTTTTTCCAGCCTCCTCCTGCCCCCATCTCCACCATTTGGGGACAGAGCCCCTGTCCTTTAGAGCCACCTGGCTGGTCTCTGTCCATCCTGAAACCGATTTGAGGGTCAGCTGTCCCTTTGCTTTCCAGCTGGGGTGGCAGCATGAGGATTTTGACTTTTTGGTAGAAAGAATTTTGTCAAGGGCCATGGGTTCTAGGGTGAGCCAGGGCTTTGTCATTAGGGCAGCTTCTGTCCCTGGATTTCTCGATGCCATGACCCCATCCCTCACCTGTTCCCCTGTCCCCTTTCTAGCAGATGGAGCAGTGGATGCATTAGGAGGGAGAGGGTGAGAAACACAAAGGAAAGGGTGATATTTGTGAAGTGTGGGGATGGATGTCTCCCCTCCAGGCTCTCAACTCGGTGTGAGCAGCCTTGAAGAGGAGAGCTCAATAGTATTGTCCTTACTATCACTAATGATGGCAGTATACTGTGGTAAGAATTATTATTCGCATACCGATAATATTAGTTTACCAGGTCCCCTCTTACTGCAGGATAAACCCCTCTTGGCCCCTTTCCTTTCTTTTGCCCCTTTGTTCCCTGGCATCCTTCCTCCCACCCCATATGCACGGAGCAGACATTAAAAGTAGGAGCACTGACCCTGGAAAGGTTTATGAGAAAGATGGAGGGACAGGAGCAAGTGAGCCGTGGCCGGGAGCTCTGCCTTTCCAGCAACATGCCAACAAACACTATGGCAACCTGAATTCCAGTTCTCTCCCTTGAAGCTGCAGTGATTATATAATTCACAGGAGCAATTTTGCCTCCATTCCTGGATGCGGTTCTCAGGTGAAAGAGCACCAGGATCCCTGTCTCCCTTCCATTTCCCATCCCCCTTTCCCTGGTCTTTGGCATTGCCCAGGGTTTTTTTTGCAGGGAGGCGAGATGGAGGGTGATGGAGGTAGGGAAGGGCAGACCTGGAAAAGCACAAATATCTACAAGGAAGGGGTTGCTGTGGTTTAATAACCAAAGGGGTGATGAAACATAATTGGGGGTTAGAGTTTCAGGAAAGAGAGTAGAAAAGCCAAACAATTACCTCAGATCAGTGATGGTGACGAACCAAAGAGTGGAGAACTGAAAAAGTTGCCAGTGGTGGGGCTTTACATTCTTCTCTTCCTGACAGAGTTGAAGGCACTGGATGCACTGGCCCTTTCTCCCCAGCTTTTCAGTGCTGTGTGTGTGTGCGCGCGCACGCGTGTGCATTGAGAGTTGGGATATGGAGACCAGTGGCCAGTGCATTGGGATAGCCTGAAGGTTCACTGAAGGACTGGCTCTTGACCCTGGGCTTCAGGCTGGGAGTGGCTCATGTGGGCCTTGCCTCACCTCTGGTGCCCTATCTACTCGGTCCCACGCCAACCTTCCGCTTTTCTGGGCTGATTTTCCATTGCAGGCTCCAGCTAGCAAATGAGTTTCTTAATAGTCAACCAGTTAGCAAATAAAACATCAGAATGTCCCTTATCTGCTGGAGACAAGGCAGAGGGGAGAAACATGTGTTCTGGGAGGGAAGACATACTGTGCTTTTCTTTTAACTACTTAGCAATACGGCAGAATAGTAATCATCATAATAAAGTAATAATAATGATCACAGTTAACTCTCTTTACAAATGGTCATAGACAACGTTGCTTGCACCTTAGCTTGTGTGGGTTATAGAAAACATGACATTAGCTTCTCTTTCTCCGGGTACTGCATGGAGGAAACTGGAGAAAAGGGGCTATTGAGGCTCAAAATATCATTCCTAGTATTGCTCTGATACTTTACAGTGTATCAGAATACTACATAATAAACTATATTACAAGAACCAATTATTCATTA